ACGACTCACCCGACTAAGCACCAATGGAGTGATCCCAATATCCCTCTATACTTGAAAGTAGAATTCGTATGTTTGGGAAGAAAAAAAAAAGAAAAAAAGAAAAGAAAAAGAAAACAGTATATATATATATATGAAGAGCAAAATTACGTCGTCAATAAAAAAAAAAAAAAATAGACGACGAAAATGACGATACGGTTGAATATAAACGCTTTATCTTTATTCCCTATCGTCCAAAAAGGAATGAGCTTCAAAGATAGATACAAAAGTCCTTTGTGAAAAAAATAAATAAATAAATAAAGTGTGGTTAAGTTGCCGGAATTCTCCGTTGGTGTTAGGTCTTAGTCACTTTTCCTAAATATTTCCCTACCGTACCCAAGCCTTGTTTTTCGTTATACCTTTTAAGACCTTTTGATTTATAAGCATGTATTTTATCCAAGTAGTAGAGAGTGAGAGGTTTTTCAAGCTTATGGTAGATACATGTTAGTGTAGTGACGATTTGAGCGATACACTTAACCCAAGGAGTGAATCAAGTGTTGCTTTGTTAATCCCATTCGTGAGAGTTCTCGAGATTAGCTTGTGTCTACTTGATTGCGTGTGCATCCTCTTTTCAATACTTTGTTGCAAATCTCAAACTCATGATATGCTATATGTGTTGATATTCTCGTTAGATTCGATTTTTAACTACGTGTTAACTTAAGTCATTGCCGGGACGGACAAGGATCTAAGTGTGGGGGAATTTGATAAGTGCAAATTTTATACATTTTTACATCAAATTACCTTGAGATTAATGTCATTTAGATATTTAAAATATCCATTTTAATTTAAGATGATGTTTAATCTTATGTGACCATTTAAGTTGAAAAAAAAAAGAGAAAATTGATTGTTGCGTTTTGGTTTTTATCATTAGCATCAAACAGCCCAAAATCAGGCCCAAACACAAGCAGCCCAAGTCGTGTAAAAGAAAAGAAAATAAGAAGAAACAGGCTGCTGCCCACGACCAACAGCGAGAGGAAAGCGAGAGAGAGGTCGTGCAGCAGGAGATCGTGGGCAGCGAGAGCAGGAGATCATGGGCGAGTACGAGTGGTCGCAAGGGGCTGTCGGTACAGAAGCAACCGAGAGAGGGATAGCGCACAGCGGCTGTCGATTGAGAGAAAAGAAGGGCTGTTCGAAAGGGGCTGTATATAGGCGAGGCAAGAAGAGAAAAATCAAGGGGGAAATCGAGAGGAACGAGAGGCGAGGCAGCAGGTCATCGAGCGACACAGCAGGTTATCGAAGGGCTGTTCGATTGGAGCCGGTCGCGAGAGAAATAGAAAAGTGAGAGGGAAATCGAGAGGGGCTGTTATCGAGCAGTCGAGAAAGAGGACARCAGCAAGCTGTCGATTGAGAGCTGTCTATCTAGGGCTGTCAATTGGAGGAGAAGAAGGCTGTAAAATCGAGCAGCAGGCTGTCGATTGGAAGCAGTCGGCCGAGAAGAAACTGTCGATACAGAGGAGAGGAACGAGGGGCTGTTCAATTGTCTGCCAGGTAGCAAACAGCAGTCGGGTGAGAGGGAGAATTAGAGGACTAATCAAGATTTTCAAAAGGATTGGTCAGGACTGGATTCGGTGAAGAAACAGTAAGCTTATTTCCAGATTTTGAAGACAAATTCCAGGTTTCTTCACCAACTCTTAAATTCAATCATTTTGTAAGTTTCTTAGTTCCAGACATGAGTAGCTAATTTTTATTTCTAGTAATGGGTTTATAATCGACTTTGAATTTGGATTTGTTGAGACTTACGTCAATTTCATCATATCATTTGAAGCTATTTATGCGATTTTAGAGTTGAATGCTTATCGTTTTGAGTTGGATATTTTAAGTAGGATCCCTTATTATGTCTAATTCAATATCGAGTTGCTAGATAAACCTTTAAGTCCGTAATTTCTTTTCGGTTTATTGAAGTAGCACACGACACACAGTTGACACTTATGTTAAATGATGATGTTGTAAGATCGTGTAAACTAATTTAAACAATCGGCGTCCGATTGTTGGTTAGTGTTGGGTTTGTTTGACGTTAATGCAATTGACAATTAAATTCTAAGTCCGTGACTAGGTTTGATTAGCTAATTAGAGGTTAGTCGTAGAGCGTTCGAGACTGATCATGCTTTTATAACGAACATAATATTGACGCGTGTCGATGTCCTAACCAACGTAGTTTCTTTTGAGAAAATGGATTGAATGAGTCGATGATATATAATCCAAAGGATTAGTTGATTGATGCTCATTACTAGTCTCGTTCTTATTATTGTTTAAGTTCTCAATTTATTTTGCATTTTTAGGCTGTTTATAAATCATCCAACCCCCCCCCTTTATATATTGTTTTATTGTTAATGAATTTGCACGAGATTACGTCTTGGGTTTACGGTTAATACCGAGTCCCTGAGGAGACGACCCTACTTATCGCTATTACAAGTATGTTTTAGAGATAATAGGCTTATTTTTATAAATTATATTATTTGCCGGACTCGACACCCGTCAGTCTAAGATTTCTTTTTAGTATTGTCAATGACCCTTATTTTTACGTCCTGGAGCTATTAATCATAAAAAACCATGTTTGTATCATTCTCGTATTTTTACAGTAATACGAACAAAAACCGATAATTTTTCAATTCTTCAAGTCTATTACACATAAAAATTGCTCTCAAATAAGCAACCAAACAAAAATACACTCTTTTTCTTCATAACCATGATGTCAAAACCCCGTTTTAAGCCACACTCTTAGGTTTTAACATGTAAACACACAAAAATTTCACTCGATAATTTAACGTTGTATAAAAAGAAGCCAACCCAAATGAATTCATGACTTCGGAGACCTGCATTGCCTGATCCACCAAGATTCTCGATCTCGCAAATTCCAAAAAAAATTGTACCCGAATTATCAAGAGAATGTTACCATGAACTTATAGACCCAATGTTCTCCTTTCAGCTAGTTTGGATTTCAAATCTTTCACACCTGGAATTCCTTCATTCTTCGACGTTTCTTGCCACCATGCTATGAGTTCGTCCTACAAAAAAGAATATCACATTGTTTCAAATTGTAGAATCTTTAATATATGTTAAAGAAAGCATCTGCTTCAAATGAAAATTGATTACCACATCAGATATTAATTGTCAGATAGTTTTGTCCCATGTTTGGCAAATGATAGATGATGAGAGTAGCACGGGACAATTTTGTGATTTTTTTGTCCCACCAAAACTAAAAAGACAAGTATTTTTACATGCGTTGTTTCAAATTGTGAAACAACACATGAAAACTGGTTCTCATGGTCTTCAACCTTTTTGTAATTTTTCATTTAATTATTCTAATAAAAGAAAATTTTGTACAATGTTTTCAATACAAGTATTTAAATATTTACATGACATGTCTCATTTATAATTAATTATTATGATATAAGAAAACCCTAATAACACTTATTTAACAATCCATATTTTTGAGTATTTTAGTTTGTGTTGTATCAGTCTTTACATTCTAATCTAGTTTTATCATGTCCATTCCTAGTATAAAAGCAGTAGCGTTACCAACTGCTGCTCCAGGTTTATACAATTTTCTCTTCTTATCGCTTATCATTTGACATTCTATCGACCATACAAGTTTGCAAGAGATTTTCATGACAAAGACGAAAGGGAACAAGCTTAATTAATTACCTCAAGGAAGTCGCAATTAGAGACATATTGACTTTCGACAAAGCATTCGAGACGTCCTACTTTAACACGAATAGATTGCTTGAAACCTTTCAATGGGGTTTCTCCTCGTAATCCTGCAACATCATAGAGATGCACATTTCAATAATTTGCATCCTCAGTTACCTATTTATCTATCAATAATCATTACAAGATACTGATAAGAATGATCGTGGTTTACGTTTTCTTTTTTCAATTTTGTCTTATTTATTAATATTCTAGTATTTAATTAATTATTAGTCAAACCCTAGATTCGATCATGTACCAAGTCAAACGTTGCTTCTATCTTTTGGGACTTTAAGGTCGACCTTACATCCTTTCGGTTCATAGCCGTGAGACCGCTACGGTCGGGGGCGTTCCAAAAGGTGGCGACATACCCTTTTTGCCGAAAAAAGTAATCTAGATCTTAAATTTTTCTTTAAAGCGTGCACTTTTGGATATGACTCGGGCCAATTCTCTTTTTCTTCATTTCCATTCCAAGAATCAAATCCATTCTCAGCGATTCACTCCTACCAAAACTCCTACCGCCCCTCGGCCCATGGGATGCGTACGTGATTTACCACCTTCATGATGACCGTGAGACTGGTGCCTTTGGAGGTGCTGCATAGGGTGGCGATAACCCTTTCTTTAGTAGAGGTGCCAAACAACCTAGCTAGACCTAGATGGTGGAACCCAGAAGAAGGTATCTTTAATTATCAAATGCTTCAGAACGGCCTTGAGATATCGAAGTGGAAGCTAATAGAATGTGAAACAAGATGGGAGGGTAGTAAAAAACATAACTAGAGGAAGATGATAACCATTTTATACTTTGTTTTGTTCCAATTCAAGCCTACTCCAAATAGTTTGTGCAAAAAGAGTTCGGTAGCAGACAACCACCGAACTGGCCCACACCTCCGCACCCAAAGAGATACGTGGGAGTCAAATAAGTACACAGTGGCCTGTGCTAGGTGGTTGGCTTAAGATTCTAAGTGCCCACCAGAGCCAATCATATATAGGGAATTGTAACTCACACTGCAGCTGACCGCTGATAGACTCCAACCATCGGTAGCTTGTATAAGTATATCATCCCGAAACCAACTATGATACATCCTGTAGGCCACTCCAACTAGTTCCGGAATAATGGATTTTTTTTTTTAAGTATTATGATATTTATATACGACAAATACCCACGACACAATCATCACCAAATGTAGAATTGAACAAGGATTTAGTGGTAACTGGATGGTGCTGAAGTATGATCCTTTTTGATAAATGGATGGTTGTAATACATTCCCAAATAATTCGAAATGGTACCTGTTACGCAGGCAACATAGTACCTCGATCCCCCAGCTCCCTCTTCCCATTTTGCAAGCCGCAAACGTACAAAAAACCCATCTAAATGCGCAACCGACAATCGGGAATTTGTCCATCTGCCAATAACATAGTACAACATCAATAAAAATTCAAAAAAATGATCAAATAACTCAAAAAACGATAAAAAAAATCAAAGAAAAAGGTAGATTTCGTACTTCATGATATCTGTACGTGATAACCTAAGCCTCCTTATGGTGTCGAACATTCCTTTTGGTGCTTCTTTAGTTACTCTTTCATATAAACTTATGTGTTCCACAACACCCTTAATCTCTTTCTCTTCAATCTCCAAACAGTCAATCGATCCACGGCCACATTTGTCGATTTCTTTGGAGCTGCCAACATAATTATTCTCGATCAGTTTAATAGTTTGATCATGTGCCTTCACATCTGGTAAGAAGAGAGACTGAAAAAAGTTTTGAAATCCCATTTTCTGGCTCTCAAAACCACGAGTTTCATCATACACACTCATTCTCTGATCATAATTCTTGTACTCCTTTAAGCCTTTCAGCATGTTCGACATCCAATTCACGAAAGATTTGTCTTCTTTAACCATGCATTGATCATGATCAGCTTGTTTCTTGATTCTTTTGCTTCCAAGAATCAATTGTTCTTCCAACCTCAATCTCCTCTTTCTTTTGGCAACAGAAGTAGCATTTTTGCAACTTTCCATGCTTCCGTGGCTCTCAACCTCGTGTTTCTGATCCTTTTCTCGACAATAAATCGATCCTTCTCTATCTTCACCTGGAAAGAAATCGGCCTGTTCAACATCTTGTGCATTTTCACGAAAAGGGTCGCTAGAGCAACCGTCTTTGTCCATTTTAGCCATTTCCACGTGTTCGTGGGGCCCACATTGAGCCGAGGCTTCAATCTTCAAAGGTGATATAATATCGGAACCCGACTTGTCAACACCACTAGTCATTCCGTCTACAAACAAGCGTTCCGATGATGGAACGCTTGTTCTTTGGTTTTGTAGACCTGCAAGAAACCAAATTCCAGTTGAGCAAAGAAGATACACTTTGATTGCTGAGGTCAAATTTGTTACTTTGTAAACTCAGATTTTCTGGATTTTGTAACAATTTATGAGCATGTCATAGACTTCAGTAAACTAAACCTAGTTGCCGTGACTTTCCGGCAATTACCGTTTAAATCCATGGACTTTTTAACAGATTTCTAAGTATTCTTTGCATGAAACTAAGAGCCCGTTTACTAAACATTTACTTTGGTAAGCGCTTACCGGTTCAATTATCTTACTAGGTAAATATAACAAGGACCGAGAATCTTATCCGGTAAAAAAGAAGACAAGAATCAAAAGTCTTACCCGGTAAACACGCTTATTAACAATTCTTTTTTATCTCCAAGAATGTTATATAATAAGTTAACTTACCTTCGGTAAGTGAGGGTGAAGGTGAAGTCTCTGTTAGCAAGCGCTTACCGGATAAGCATTTAGTAAACGGGTCCGCATGCAATAAGGATCAATTATCAGCCGTACAGTACGTTTTTAGTAAAGATTTTTGCATAAAAGATTGTTATTTGCCACAAAAACAATACCAAATATAATGGCTTGAAAAGTTAGCCACTTCCAAAATTTCTCAAAGTTTAAAGATTCACAAAATGAATCAAATCGACTTCGATATGTACCTGCGTGGCCATGACTTCTGCTTGTCGATGTTTCGACTGTGCTTGAAGAATTGACGTGTTTTTGATCTTGAGTGTCTTCAGACTGTAAAAACCCCATATTGCTTGGACCAACTTCACACGTAAAACAAGGTTTCTTTTCGGCAAATTTGATGCTTAATCCTGTTCCCGGAGACCAAACTAGCTCGGCTAATGTATCTGATCCAACAAACGTCATTAGATCAACTCTTGAATTTGCATTTGCACCTGCGCCTGCAGCTGTACTACTATTCTTCCATTGGTTAGTAATATTGATAGCAAGCCCGGAATCCGCTTTAGGATCATTCACATCTGTCATTAGCCAAATGTTACATGAAACCGAAAATCCTGAAACTGGAAGTGAATCCAAGTTTAGATTCAACATGAAAATTAATATAAGTATCAAAGACAACTTTGGTGATCATTGATGTTTCAACTGAATTCCATACATAAACAATAAACCAAACCAAATAAATCCAGTATATCCCATTCGGAGATGGGGTTCCGGAAGGGTGAAATTTGTTGTTTTCGTGAAGACCCCGAACTTGTGTAAAGCATGCAAAAAGAAATGACAAAGCTTGCCCAAAAAAATTATGAAAATAGAAACATGAGAACTTGAAAAAAAGAAAGGCAGCGCTAAGATTTGAAAATACTTCCAACGTTAAGCAAGATTCAAATACACAGACAAACAAACAAATAGACAAAATTAGGGGTGTAAACAATAGGAGATAACTCGCGAGCTACTCGAGATCGACTCGATTAACACTCGATTTGAATAGGCTCGGCTCAAACTCAAGCTCGACTCGACATATTAACTGTTGGAATCCTAAGTCTTGGGGTCCAAGCAATCACGATTATGGAAACAATGACAAGTCGGTTCATACTTTCCATAATCGTGATTATGGAAACAATGACAAGTCGGTTCATACTTTCCTAATTATAAGCTAATACAAGTCGGTTATTAGCTTCTATAAATACATTGTTTTAGATTGAGTTTTTTAAATCTTTTGAGAAACATTGTAAACACCGTGAGCTTTGAGTAATTTTCTCACATTAATCAAAGAGTGATTTTGGTTATTTAGTTTTGCAATTATTCAATACCAAACTTTAATTGGTATCAAAGCCAAGAACCGAAGGCTGTGAGATCGAATTACCTTCCTGGTGAACAAGTCGGTCACCATGTCAGGAGCAGAAACACCTGCCGGTACGTCGACGAAGGAGAAAGAGACCGGAGCCACCTCGGTGCATTGTCCAATGCTCACGTCGACGAACTACACCGTTTGTGTTATGAGGATGAAGGTTGTATTAAAGATTCATAAGGCTTGGGAGATAATTGAACCAGGAACTACAAAAAATCAAGATAAAGATGATTTAGCAATGGGTTTGATTTACCAATCGATACCTGAAAATCTTATAATCCAAATCGGTGAACAAGATTCATCTAAGGGACTTTGGGATGCAATCAAATCAAGGCATATGGGGGCTGACCGTGTGAAGGAGGCACGATTACAGACTTTGATGTCCGATTTTGATCGATTGAAGATGACTGAGTCGGAGTCGATTGACTCTTTCACTGGAAGATTATCTGGAATTGCATCCAAGGCAGCAGCATTAGGTGAATCGATTGATGAACCAAAGATGGTGAAGAAATTCCTGAAGTCGCTACCGAGAGTAAAATTCATTCATATTGTCGCCTCTTTGGAACAGGTGTTGGATTTGAAAACCGTTGGCTTCGAAGATGTAGTGGGGCGATTAAAGGCTTATGAGGAGCGGATAAGGGAGGACGAAATCAGTGGTGAGGATCAACCGCAGGTTCTGTTCGTCAACCATGGTGGAAGTGCGAATCGGAAGTCACAGAAGGGGAGATCGAAGGAACCGGGTCCTAACAAGTCTTATAATTCGAATGGGTCTGGTGGATCAAACAATGCTAACCGGGCTTCTCATGGTGGAAAGGCCAAACAGCATTGGGCCAAATCAACTCGGTCCACAAATCAGTCCAATAATGACCCGAAAAGGGAAAATAAAAAAGACCGGTCCAAAATTATTTGTTACCGGTGTGATAAACCGGGTCACTTCGCGTCTCAATGTCCGGACCGAATTCAAAAATTACAAGAAAGTAATTTTACCAAAAGTGACGATACCGAAGCGACCGTATTTTTACACGAGACCGTGTTTATAAACGAATAAAAGGTGATACCGTCTCAATACGACTCACAAGATAACGATGTGTGGTATTTGGATAACGGGGCGAGCAATCACATGACGGGAAACCGGTCGTTTTTCTCCGAACTCGATGAAGGAATTAATAACCGGGAAGGTTAAATTTGGAGATAATTCATGTGTAAAAATCAAGGGAAAAGGTTTCATACTTTTCCAAGGCAAGAACGGTCAACAAAGGCTGATGACGGAGATTTATTACATACCGGATCTCAAGAACAACATCATTAGCCTTGGTCAGACAACGGAARCSGGKKKKGMMWTYSRAWKRAARGSMAMSKTTYKRMC